AAATTTGATTCGACAAGAACTCTCTCAGTTTCGCTCTTCTTTTTACAGCCTGTCTCTGAAATTGATACAAGCGAAGAACCACTAGAAGAACGGAAATGTCTCTCTCCGACAATCCTGTTGAGATTCCGACATCTCCTTGCTTATTATCAAGTGTTTGATTCAATAAATCCTACATCTCCGACGGTGAAGATTCCGACGAGTACAAGACAAGAACAGCGAAAGATCCTTCCAGAGTATGGTTTCTTAGATTCCGACTTTCCTTTACCGATTCAGACGAGTACGAAGCAAGAAGAGCCACTAGAGAGCCTTCAATACTCTTCTTACTCGCGATCCAAGGAAACAGAGATGCGTTTCTCCTGCGTTTCTCCGATGAACACAGATGAAGAAGCCTTGAATAGTCGACAATGCTCGCTCTTGGAAACCCTAAATAACCTCGAAGGTAAGCCACTGCTACGATGAACACTAGAAACCTGCTAAATTTCTTTTTTCTGCTAGTCATACTTGTACTTCTTCTTGTGTTTTTGCAGGTAATCTCTTCGATGGAAACCAGAGTAGCTTATCTCTTGATTACGAATGGAACCTGATCTCGCAAAGAGATATTGGCCTTAAGATGATACCTAGACCTAGATTTGTCAAGAGCGGTACTAACAATGATGACAACAATAGCCAGTCTTATTTGAGTGTTGAAGCTTTCAACAATAGTGGTGGATATGGCACAGACATTACTGATTCTTTCGGATATGGAAGTTTGTTTAGTGGTCTAACATCTGTTGGGATGATGACACTTACAATGCCGACCAAGCAAGTTTCCAGTCTTTGTCTACAAATAGCTCTTCTTTGGTAAGTCCTCAGTACTGAAATTCACTTTACATTCACCACTGAAACATCAATCAATCTGAGACTACGGATTTGTGATTTCTTTCTGCAGTTTCAATAGGAGCCAGATCAATATCACCAACAAGAGCAGCAGAGTCAGAAGCGACAGAGATTAACAAGTCCATATCATGTGGCTTATGACATGGTTAACCGTTTCGAGTCTATCCACTCGCAGGCTCCTGAGCAATTCCAGCTTTCTCGGTTTCAGAATCAATAACAGGACAATGCAGAAGACTGTCACGATGCAAGTTTTCAGTTTCAGATTCTCCCAGGACAATGCAGTCAGAGTGATATGTGCACATCAGATCCTCAAAATAGCCAACAGATACATCATATGTTGCAGCCACAGAGATTCATGAGTCATGTGATTTCTGACATGGTTAACCCTTTAGAGTCTTATTACTCACACACTCCTGAGCAAATCCAGCTTTCTCAGTTTCAGAATCAATACCAGAACATTGGAGAAGATCGTCACGCAAGTTCTCAGATTCTCCCTGTCACAAGTCAGAGTGATATATGCACATCAGATCCTCAAAACAGCCAACAGATACAGTATATGTTGCAGCCGCAGAGATTTATAAGTCATGTTGCTTTTGGGCAAAATCATTGGGCTTCTGGCATGGCTAACCCTTCTGAGACTATCCACTCCGAGGCTCCTGAGCTATTCCAGCTTTCTCTGTTTCAGAATCAATACCGGAACAATGCAGAAGACTGTCATGATACAAGTTCTCAGATTCTCCCTGTAACAACAAGTCAGAGTGATATGTGCACATCAGATTTTCAAAATAGCCAACAGATACAGTATATGTTGCAGCCGCAGTGTATGGCTTCAGACTCTACAAATAGTTTTATGGTGAGATCAGAGTCTGGTGTGCATGGTCAATGGCAATCTCAGCCACATCAACAGGAGCAGTTTCAACAACACGGAGTCCCGACAGAACCACAGTGGACCATGAAGAAGATACTGAACAAAAGCGATATTGGTAGCCGACTTTATCTTAATAAAGACATCGTTGAGGATTACATTCTGAAACATCTCCCTGGAGGAGATGACCGAAAGAAACTCCAAACTGAGCCCGGAATCAAGGTTAAGGTGTACGACCACGACACCTACAAAACGCACAAGCTGCGTCTGGTACTGAGGCAAACCTATTTTCTAAGGAAAGGTTGGAAAAAAGAATTTGTTGTAAGGAGAGGCTTACTTAAAGGAGAGCAGATTGGACTCTTCTGGGATCGTTCTGATTCTAAGCTTCATTTTACGTGCTTTCTCGCGCAATCCCTACCTAAAGCTCCTGCAGAAAAAAAAAAGAAGCTCTTAATACAGAAATATCCTATAGAGGTCAAGGTACTAAGAATTCATGCATTTCTGATCTCATTTAGAAACTGTTCTTACCAAGTGAACAGGGAATGGTGTACACTTTCATTCCACAAATCTATGAAAATGTTATGTTCAGAGCATTTCATGCATGTACATAAAAGAGTTATTAGATTGTACATTTCATTAAAACCACAATTTATTTAATGAAAGTAAGAAATTTCGGCTCAGACATTTTGTAAGATACCTGAAACCAAATGGATTGAGCAAATCAGTCATTTTATAACCCAAATTACTCAATTTTGACATAACACCTCCAAATCTCGGGATCGATTAGTCCCACTGCGACACTAATACAACAACAAACTACAATTAAACAATCAACCCAATTCCGATTACATTGCAAGGAGCGATATAGAAATCGAAACCATAACCAGAAATGTTCAGGAAATATAGAAATTGGTAATTACCACTTGAAGCTGATCGGAGACAAGAGGCTTGGTTTCATCGAGAAGATTTAGGGTTTCGGTCTGGTCTCGGTCGTCGTCTTTCCGCTTCTCTGAGATTTTTTGGGATTTTTTTCTTCAAGGCGATGGCTGGGATTTCCCGCCAAACAAAAGCCCGTGCATCTCACGTGATGACTGTGAATTTGTTTGGGCTGCAAAAGGCCCAACACCGTGTAATTAGTAATCACGATTTTTTTATCTCTTTCGGCCTAATTAATCACTAATTATTTTTGTAATTAGTAAATATATATTTTAGTCCTCCTCACTCGCTCGATCTCTTCAGTATCATTTTTGCAATCTCTCTCTCTAAAATTGATTCGAACGAGAAACACTCTCCAATGGAGAAAAATCGAGCATGTACGAGCCAAGAACCGCAAAAGAACCCTCAAGATTCCTCTTCACCATCCAACGAGACAGAGATATCTATCTCCGACGTTCCTATACCTCCGGCGAAGAAGATTAGAACTACGAGTATGAGCCAAGAACAGAGAGTGACCCCTCGAGATTCTTCTTTCTCACCATCCAACGAAACAGAGAAATCTATCTCCGACGTTACTACATCTCCGGCGAATAAGATTGGTACTACGAGTATGAGCCAAGAACAGAGAGAGACCACTCAAGACTCTTCTTTCTCACCACCCAACGAAACAGAGATGTCTATCTCCGACGTTCTTATATCTCCGGCGAAGAATAATTGTACGGAACAGAGAGAGATCTCTAAAGAGTCTTCTTCCTCACCATCCAACGGAACAGAGATGATTATCTCCGACGTTCCTACATCTCCGGCGAAGAATATTGGTTCGAATACGAGCCAAGAACAGAGAGAGACCACTCAAGACTCATCTAAGGAAACAGAGTTGGTTCTCTTCGGCGTTTCCATGACTCCGGGGAAAAAGAGTCGGACGAAAATGAGGCAAGAACAGCGAGAGACCTTTCAAGAGCCTTCTCTCTTACCATCCAAGGAAACGAAGTTGGTTCTCTTTGGCGTTATGATATCTCCAGTGAAGCAAGAACAGAGAGAGATTCATCGAGCGTATCTTTTCTTGGCATCTAAGGAAATGAAGATGCCACTCACCGGCATTTCTATATCTCCGGCGAAGAGTATGAGCCAAGAACCGCGAGAGATCCCTAACGAGTACCTTTTGTTCCCATCTAAGGAAACGGAGATGGACATGTCTCTCTCCTCTGCATCTCCGATGGACATAGATGAAGACTTGAAGAAGACTGGTTCCTTGGAAGACACCGAAAAAGGTTTCGTCTCCACGAATCTATGTTTGTACGACGAGACATGGCTTCCTGGAAACCCTAGTTACCCTAAGGTTACTTGTGCTCCAAGAGATGATGAATTTACTAAACAACAAGCAAGAAAGATGAAGGAGATGAGGTTTCTATCGAAAGAGCAACGAGAAGAGGAGAAGCTATACGGAGTTACAACGGAACTAACTCTTTTCACTGATCCATGGATCATAAAGAAGGAAATGAAGATAACAGATATACGTATTCAACTTTCTCTGAGCAAACCCATCGTTGAGAGCTACATTCTGAAATATCTCTCTGAAGATGACCAAAAGAACAAATTCCGACAAGGCAGTAGTGAAGTGACGGTTAATGTGTACGACACCGACACGCACACTACGCACAAGATGCTTCTGAGATCGGGAATGAACCGTTACTGTCTAAAGAAAAGCTGGCGCAGTGATTTTGTCAACAGGAGAGGTTTGAAGATAGGAGACGAGGTTGGATTCTTCTGGGATCATTCTCGTTCTACGCTTAATTTTCGGGTGCTTTCTCGTGCAATCACAGACGAACTTAAGCTCTAGTCCAGTAAGTTCCTTAACAAGGCCTTTGAAGCAATGACTGAATTAAGGCCTAAGTGTTAGTTTTATTTTCTTGCATATGTGATCTCATTGAGAAGCTTTACTATATAGAGATTGGTGTTGCTTATGGTTGTTGACTTCTTGTGTTCTGCACTAATTTGTTGCATTTCATCTTTGTAAGTGGAAGAAGATATGTAGCAGTAAAAACTAAATGTTAGATATTTCACATTAGAAAGCTTTATGGCATAGAGTTGTTCATAAAAGCAAACAATGGAAACAAGAATCTGCAAAGCTTCTCCTCTGGTTTTAAGATGAAGAAACTACAGAAACCCGAGAAGCAAAAATTCTTTGCGCTTAGCGATAATGGTAACAGTGGAGCTTAGTAGGATGTTCCATGGTGTTTTTTTCATTTTTGCAGCTGTATTCTCTTGTCTCTGATGGGCAGGTCAAGCGGCTTCTGTGCCTCCTGAGGATGTTCCGGGCCTTTGTACACCTTCAGGTGATTGAATAAAGCTCTCCCAAGCTGCCACAAAATGGTCAGACCAAGTTAGAGTGTAATCAAGGTTTACGAATATCGCCAAGTTGGACCATAAACGAGATTGATAAAAACCATAGTATACACATGGTCTGAAGCTAACGAATATCGCCAAGTATTCACATGGTCTGAAGCTTTTGGATACCATGTCGTGTTCCAAATGTCCTGTAAAAACCATAGTATACTCTCAAAACAAAGCTACAAGCCAAAGTCTCCTAATCTCACCAAAACCCAAACCAAAAAATGAAGAAGTAAAAGTTCCCATTTCACAAATTCATCAAATTCAAAGCCCATCTTTCAAAATTTTCAAATTTCCTAGAATCTTTCACAGATTTCTATGCTTGAGAAGCTAAAATCAAAGAGGGAGATAGATAGAGAAAATATATCTTATTACAGGGCCGGTTAGATAATATAAAACGGGTTTAGTATCCGGTTTG